GGCCTGAATAAAGAATAGGAGTGGTTGGGTCATTACAAAACCTAAACTTAATTTCCCCAATACTAATTTCTCCCTACTGTTACTCACATCTTCTTGTCAACTGTCTGTAATGGGCCACTCTCTTACCACTTCAAAAGTTATTTCTCCTCCTTTGGTATCCTGCTGTTCATTGATTTATCTTGTTAGACTGACTTAACACTTGGTAAAGCAACCCACATCCTTTCATGTATTTATACCTGCTCCTGTATCTTTTACTTCATACATCTGATGAAGTGTTTCATAGTAGCAGTTGTGTTAATCTGTATCCGCAAAAACAACGGGAGTAATTGTGGCATCTTAGAGACTAACAAATTTATTTGAGCATAAGCTTTCGGGGGCTAAAACCCACTTCATTGGATGCACGCTGTGGAAAATACAGTAGGAGGAGATATATATATATACACACACACACACATACACACACAGAACATGAAACAATGGGTGTTACCATACACACTAGAGTGATCAGTTAAGGTGAGCTATTACCAGCAGGGGAGAGAAGAAAAAAAAACAACTTTTTGTAGCGGTAACCAAAATGGCCCATTTCCAGCAATTGACAAGAAGGTGCGAAGAACAAACAGTAGGGGGGAAGAATAAACATGGGGAAATAGTTTTACTTTGTGTAATGACCCATCCACTCCCAGCCTTTATTCAAGTCTAATTCAATGAGTGTCCAATTTGCAAATCAATTCCAATTCAGCAGTCTCTCGTTGGAGTCTGATGAAGTGGGTTCTAGCCCACGAAAGCTTATGCCCAAAGAAATGTGTTAGTCTCTAAGGTGCCACAAGGACTCCTTGGGTTTTTCTTAGATCGGTCAGTGTCACTGTAGATACTGCATTGCTGAGATCCACTGTTGCTGCCTTTCAGAAGCCTTCCCACAATGCCTTACACTGACCATTAAATTAGTGCAAGCACTCCTGGTGAGGACAAGAATTAGCGAGACAAGAAGCACAGTGTGGGCATGCAAAAGTCATTTAATTACTGTGGTGGCTGGACATCGACATCACTTAGGTGGACTATAGACTTGCCCTAGACAACTGTAAACGTCAGTTTAAATCACACAGAAACTAATGGAGCCCAGTATAGCTCCATCAGCGTGCCCACTCCTGGCTAACATCAAGCCCTCTCTCTCTCTCTCTATATATAGAGTGTGTAACAGCAATATGCAACGAAAGCCCGGCGCTTGCGAAGATCTGGTACGGGTTGTTTTCTCGTGGGGGGTTTCCCTGTGGCTCCAGCACAGTAAGAAGTAACAAGTCAGCTAGGGCCGGACACAGGCTTGGAGCACTGAGGGAAACGTTGCCCGGGTGGGAACGGAGCGCGGCCGGCGCTGTCTGGTTTCTAATCGAAGGGCTCAGGCGGAGACACGGCGCGGCGGCGAGCTCCACCCAGCGCCGCACTCCGCCCAGCTGGGCTGGCGTCTCCCCGCGCCCGCCCGACTCCCCGCGCCCACAGCGTCCCTCCGCCCGCAACACCCAGCCGAGCGGCCCCCCCAGACCTCCCACGGGGCCAGCCGCCCCGGGCGGTACCTCGGAAGCAGCGCAGCAGGCCGGGCTCGCTAAAGCCGTTGCGGCAGAGGAAGTCGCAGACCTGCTCGGTGCCCCAGTGCCGCGGGTGGGGCCCCTCTGGGCCCATGGCCCACCCGGCGCAGACCCGCTTCTTGGGGGTGCAGAACCCATCGGGAGGGCTGGCGGGCCGACCACGCTTGGCGACGCCTCCGGCCACTGCTGCCCCGCTCCGGCTCATCGCCACAGCCGCCGGCTCCAGCCCGCCTACCCCCGCGCAGGCGCGCAAGGCGCGCTCGCTCGCGCTCACCAGGACCGACAGGCGGGCCCAGCCTATTGTCGCGACTTCCGCCTGTCCCCGCCCGGGGGAGGGGCAAGGCCGCCAGCACGGCCGGGACCGTTCGGAATGGGGGGCGTGAGGGCGCGCTGTGCTCGACTCCGCCTCGTTCGCCGTCGCAGCGACCGACACCCCCACGTCACCGACAGTCCCCACGTCAACGACACCCAACCCGTTCAGTCACTGACACCCTCGGTCACTCACACCCCCTTCACCTGTCAGTCACCGACACCCCCCTCCTAACACTCCCCGGCCACCCTGCCTCACGCTCCTCAGCAGGGCCAGCTTTAGACCAATTCAACCAATTCCCCTTGTTGCATCCGAAGAAGTGAGGTTTTTACTCACGAAAGCTTACGCCCAAATAAATCTGTTAGTCTTTAAGGTGCCACCAGACTCCTTGTTGTTTTTGATTGATACTTGTCCCCTTGTTGGTGTCACTAGGCATCACCCTAGGTAACTCGGGGGGTTGGAAGACCCGAGAGTCGATGAAGACCCCCCACTCTAGGCCAAAGTGAATCAAAGCCCCTGAATGTTAAACTTTACTAACCTCACAGGCCAGCAGCTGGGAAGCAGTAGTGATAAGGGAAACCTACATGCTTCTAGCTGAAGGACAAGATTACTTGCAGAAAGAAACAGTGAGAACAAGCTGCACAGCCAAGGTCGTGTAATGTAGCCAGAGGGAGAAAGGGGGAAAGGTGGGAATGGAGGAGGGGGGGTGAGAAAGGGCGGGGAAAGAAGGGAAAGGGTTAGCTGCAAAATGTATAAAAGATAAAGGCCACTTATGTTGGTGTGCTTGATTTGAGACGTGCCTGTCTCCTTGCACCACTTTGAGATCTCAAATAAACTTTGATTGCTTCTCCACCCTGGTGTGTTTATTGGCGTGACGCACACCGGGCAACGGATCCCGCTGTTGCTGTCCTCGGGCACTCTGTGCCGGCAACACCCTGAATCAGGCCCCGTGCCCAAGCCCCGGTACAGCGTACCTGCGTGGCCCGGCTTCCACAGGGGGCAATTTAAAGGGCCTGGGGCTCCCAGCAGGGGCTGGAGCCCCAGGCCCTTTAAATTGCCACCAGAGCCCCACCGTTTCCCTAGGGCTCCCGTGGCTATTTAAAGGGCCGGGGCGGTAGAAGCAAGGGAGCCCTGGGATAGCAGGGGCTCAGGGGCTATTTAAAGGGCTGGGGCTCCAGCTGCCTCTGCTGCACCCTCTACCCGCAGCCTGCCCCTGATGCACCCCCTGCCCACACCAGCCCTGTACCCTCTGTCCTGCCCGCAACAGCCCCACACCCCCTGTCTTGCCCGCACCAGCCCCGCACCCCCTGCCCACAGTCAACCCTTGCTGCACCCTCTGTCCTGCCTCCAGCCAACCCCTGCTGCACACCCTGCGGCTGTGTCTGAAGCCAGCCAGCCCCACACACACCCCTGCCCGCACCAGCCCTGCACCCCTGCCCTGCCCGTACCAGCCCTGCACCCCCTGCCCTGTCCAGCCAACCCATGTGGCACCCCCCTGCCTGAAGCCAGCCAGTTGTGCACTCCTCTGTCTCCAGCCCTGCCAACCCCTGCAGGGCCAGCTTTAGGATTTCCACGGATTTCCCCGAATTGGTCCCCGCGCCTAAGAGGTCCCCGCGCAGCTCAGGCAGCGTCCCTGCCTGAAGCTCTCCCGGAAGCAGCAGCTGTTGCTGCTAGGCAACCAGAGACGCTGGCCGGCAGAGGGCTAGGGCTGAGGCAGAGGCAGCGAGGGCTGTTGCAGGTCAGGAGGGGGGCAGAGGGGAGAAGGCACATGTGCTTTGCAGCCTTCCCAGCTGGAGCTCCGGCCGGAGCGTGGCAGCCCCATGGCCCCGTGACCCCAGCTGGAGCTCCGGCGGAGCGCAGCAGCCCCGCAGCCCCACGACCCCGGCCGGACCTCCGGCCGGAGCGCAGCAGCCCCGCCCTCCCAGCCAGACCGCGGCAGCCCCACAGCCCCGCGACCACAGCAGGAGCGCCAGCCGGAGCGCGGCAAGCCCCGTGGCTCCCCTTCCCCCAGCCGGCAATCGGAAGTGCAGCCCCAGGAATCGTGCCCCGCACTTGCTAAAGCCGGCCCTGAGGACACCCCTCAATAACCAGCACCCCCCAGTCAGCAATCGCCCCAAATGACATCACATAGTCACTGATATTGCCACCGACACACTCAGCTCCAGCCCCACAAAATGCAAGGCACCATACCAACACTGACACCCCAGTCCCCACAGGCACTGACACCCTTATGCTCCCACAAGGGTTGCCATTATTGTATTTCAAAAATATGGCACAAACATCACATGTTCCTAGTCTTGTATTAAGGCTCTGGGGGTAAGTCCTTTTTCCTCCCCTGTCCTTCCTAGGGGTTTTCTCTCTCCGGTTCTGAGTGCTGCAGGGAAACCAGGACCTCAGGCTCTGGGCCAGGCAGCCGCTGCGACTACTGTTCAGGTGCCATGCAGATGCGGGGATCGGAGTCAGAGGCTGCAGTTGCTGGTCTCTGCCGGCTGCAGCACTGTGGGCCACCAGGGGTTGGGGCTGTTAGAAGGGGTGTGCACTGAAGGGAGGCAGCAGCTGGAGGAGGCATCACTGCAACCAGCAGGGGCGCCATTTCAGATTTCAGTGGGAGGGGCAACTTTCAGCAGGGCATCAGGGCCATATTTGAGTGGCATTGTGACCCCATGGCCAGGTCAAGTTGTCAAAGTGCCAGCACACTGCTCCCTTTTGGATTTCAGATGCTGGAGAGATGTTTCAGATCGCTCTAGGAGCAGCATCCTCATCCCTGGTTGAAATATAGGATAAAAAGCATCCCATATGGATTTAGTACAGGACAGGCAATTTTTTATTTATGTAAGGAACGCCCTTTATAATATGGATTGTTGGCAACCCTAGCCCCCTACTGACACTAACATGTCCACAGTGACACCTTTAGTGCCCTGAGGGACACTGACACATACACAGATACTGAGACACTGACACATACACAGATATTGAGACTCCTGACATCCTCACAGACACTGTCACTGCAAAACCAACACCCCTGATGCATGCTTTCAGGGACTTCAACTCCCTGCAGACGTTGATGCCCCCAGGGACACTGACACCCCCAATATGATGCCCACACAGACACTGAAACACACAGAGATATCAATGCCCCTGTCACTTGGAGCCCACAGAGACACCAATGACCCTCACAGACACGCCCCCCAACATCTGTAACTCTCAGTTTGCCAAGGCCCAAATGTGAGAGACGTATGACAAAAGAACCTAAATGAGTGTGGCCCAGGAACCTATTGATGCCAACTGGCAGAGGGCACAGGGGATTCACAGAGTTTTTTAGGAATCACCTGGGTCAGATATATGTATAATAGTTCACCAAAGGATGTCAGGTAAGGTCTCTATCAAGAGCCAGTAGCCCACTGATCGTCATAATCATTTCTGAGGCCGGGTCTATACTAAATGTTAGGTCATTCCAGCTGAGTGACACAGTTAAGCCGACCTAACCCCTGATGTAAGCAGTGCTAAGTTGACTGAAGAATTCTTCCATTGATCTACCTACTGCCTGTCAGGGAGGTGGATTAACTACAATGATGGGAGAACCCTTCCTATTGCTGTAGTGAGTGTCTACACTATAGTACAGGGGTGGGGAACACATGAAGAGAAGGGAGTGAATGTACCCTCCTCATCTATTATTGGGAGTCGTCTACATCCACCCTGATCAAATTGGCCTTGTCAACACTGGTTCTACACTTGTGAGGTAACTCCCTTCTCTTCATGTGTCATTATATAATGCCTGCATCTGTAACTTTCACTCAATGCATCTGAAGAAGTGAGATTTTTTACCCACGAAAGTTTATGCCCAAATAAATCTGTTAGTCTTTAAGGTGCCACCGGACTCCTTGTTGTTTTTACAGAAAATTATGTTCTCAAAACCTTGGCGTTAAGGCAGATAACCAAGAGGTAACTTATCTTAAACAGGTTTCTTTCAAGCAGGAGGTAGCAGACACTTATCCCCGTTTGGTCATTGTGTGTTGTATGTTTCACAATGTAAGGCTACTTGCATACAGAGCCAGATGCTGACTGAAAAACTGCAAAAATCAACAGAGAGGAAGGCTACAGGGAAAAAAAAATAATAATAATCAGCAGTGAGTGTCCTGCTTATGAAAAAGAACAAAGGACTGTCCTGATATATGGATACCAAGAGACACTCTGCATCTTTCAATTGGGAGGCAAGCTGACAATGTGCGTCTCATGAAGGGAAGATGACAGCCAAGTCTGGCTGTAAGATGCTAGAAGGTATTCGGCTGAGCATTGCTCCATAAGACAAAAAAATATCTAGTTAAATAAATCTAGGTTCTAGAATGTGTGTTATGATCTATTTTATATGTAACCCTCTTTCCAATATCTCTATATTTTGTTAAATAAACTTTTACTTGTTATCACTATAAACTTATCTAATTGCTCCGTGTTAAACAGAGTGGTGATCTGAGGTATAACTGGTAAGCTGTGCCATACTGCTCCTTTGGGAATAAAAGATTTGTCAATTCTGTGAATGTCCAGTAGAATAGGGGCTGGACACTCCATAGGGACACTTGGAGTATTTGGGGATTGGCGTGTGCCTATTGCTTACCTGCAGAGGGACAGCAGAGTCTGAGTATGCTGAGAGGGGAGTGCTTGTGTTGCCTGTAGCTGGTTGTGATGAACTGGGACTGTTCTTACTGTGGTCTTTGAATGCTGACAGGGGAGTGTGGCTAGGATAGTCTGCATTGGGGAATGGGAGACTGACCGATGGAGAATACCTGAGCATGTAACATGAGAACCCAGGAAGGGGTTA